CGATATCTCTCAACATTTACAAACACTGTACAATGTCGACCGACATCGTCAACTCGATATTCAAGAAACGAATGCTGTGGAATGCCGACAATCGCCAAAATTACGTTATTTGAGAAATAAAAATTAGTTTTTGAAAATATTCATACCTGTTTGTAACCTGGAAAAAACTGATAACAAAACCGTTCTAGCTTGTTTAAAATTAAATTATTTGTTATTACCAAAACTTATGGAATTTTAAAGTCTGCAGCTTACTTATTAATATTTAATAAGTTTGGGTAGGCAAGTATATTTTACTATTATTCTAGAAAATAAGCTAGAAAGTAAATAGTTTTGTTAAGATATTTCTTCTCTTTTTCAGGGTACAAGGAGCCATTTAAACTGTGAAATAATTTTAAGTGATTTGTGCAATAATTTTTACAGCATCTATATTTTACTATGTAGATTAAAATTACAATACGTTTAATTTAAATCGATAAACTTTTCTGCTATGACGTTTTAGTATTATATAATCTGTATTTTACTAAAATAGTATGTATGGAAAACAAAATTCCTTGTCTTCACAGCATCAGGTTCGATTTTAAGATAACTGATTAAAAAGAAGGGGGGGGGAAGCAATATTTACACTGATATTGTCATAATAAAATAACTGCAGTCACTTTCTCAGATTTCTGACTTAAAATAGGGTAAACATGGTAGAATAAGCTGCGATTTAATTTATTTATGGCCTTTGTCCATTAAAGTGTTGCCAAAATATCGATTAGGGCTTGAACGGTTGTCAAATGTGTAAATGAAATATAATTTTTATTAAACAGTCAAGAATAATATACTAATTTCTATAATTTATTGTATTCTTTAATACAATCAATTGTTTCTAAAACAAAACTGCGTCAATTGAGGCAAACTTAGTCTTCCTGCCTTCCCGGTCGTTGGCGGTGGCAAGAACTTCACCAAATTTTTCAGCTTTTTCTAGTCAGCTAGTTTTTTTGAACAGTCTGAAGGTAGCAGCTGGAAAAAAAAAGACATGAACTGTGGTTAATTTTAATACTTTTAAATTAAAAGACAATTAGTTATACTGAAAAATTACATGAACTAAAGTAGACATGTGCACAACGCAAGTACTACTAATAGCCCTAGGTTGACAATTCTTCTGTATAGAATCAGAGCAGTTTTTATGTTTTCAGGAGCACTGGGCCCTTTACGAGTAAGTTAATAACATATGGAAAATATTATATTTTATATAAAAGATGGAAAAAAGTTTTTCTTTGATTAATTTTTAAAAATTAATTGGTCACCTTTCGTTGAGGTGATCCGGGTTCCAATCCCAGTATCGGCTGGGATTGGACCCGGCTAGTCAATACAAATTCCACATCCAACCATTAATTACATTAGTTACTATCATTCGCCAACCTCTGAAACTTCTTAAGAAATTGATTTCAGATTACGATCTGAGATGGATTGCCTATTTTATAGCAAAAAATCTAGACATTAATGTAAATTAATATTTGTTCGTAAAGCAACGCAGTTTCACAATTGAATTGTTCCAAAAATATTTAGAATTTTAATGTAATACGAATTGTTCATTGTCAATTTATCGGCAAAAGACGCACAATTCTATTGCGAATAGTTTTCGCTAAACTAAATCGGGAGGACCCCTGATCGCTCTCCATGCCTTTACCTTGATATTGCTTAGTACGAATGTTTCAGGTTTTACTCTCTAATATATTATGAATTGTAGTTAAGCTCTAGCCCTGATCGATCTAGTGTTCCAACCATACCCCCTGAATCGCTCACGAAATTGGTTGAAGATTGCTTCGGGATCTGGGGCAAATTGCACGACGAAAGAGCAAAATAAAAAAATCAAGATATTTGTTCGTACAAGCAAGAAACTCAACAATATCATATCACTTCTGATTAAAATTCTTTGTAGTGATAGCGAAAGAAAAGCAAGAATTATGCGACTGTGAACATTATCTGTGCAAACACTAAACTTTTTAAGTTCGAAACATTTATTTCGATTACTTGTATGTAACGGTGGACAAAATCCTTATAATTGAACTTTGTTAAATTAAGAAAAATAATATTTTGTTAATACTCTAAAAAAAATTTTCCTCTAAAATCTGGAGATACAGCATCTATAAAATAATTGTTCAAAAAATTATTAGCAAAGTAAGGCGTATTTTTTATTTTCTGTTTACCAGATCCCTGCTTCGCTATCACTCGCCAAACCCCGAAACTAATGCTTTTGCAGTAATTTTCTATTGCTTTCGTTGATTGTTTAATACAGGGATGGGCAAACTTTTTGGGTCGTGGGCCAAAAATCTAGAAAAAAAAGTTTGGTGGGCCGAGTAAAAACTTATGAAATAAAATAAAGTCAATTCATCATTGAGTGCACGTCACTCTGCATCAACTTTGCGTTTTTTAGTTGCCATTTTGGGACAAAAAATGTTTACAAGTAACTTAAAAAGGCAGTAGCCATTTAATAATTTTACCATTATTTACAATGACATTGTATGTGTGCAACTTTTCCATACGCAGTAAATTATGTTAGAACTCGAGCCGGCAGAAAAATCCGTTCGTCGGAACTTAAAACGCGTAGTCAGCCTCATGTGAAGTACAGTCCGCAAAAAAAAAAAAGATATCACCCTGAGTAACTTTCGTTCNGGAACTTAAAACGCGTAGTCAGCCTCATGTGAAGTACAATTCACCTATATTAGATTCCATATGTCTGCTCCTCGAGAAAGACAAATACTAGTTGGAGCTAATCTACAGCTATTCTATAAAGAACTTTTGCTGTCAACATTTTACCAGTTAAAGCTGTTTGTGCTAACTATTTTAATTAATTTATGTTTTGTAGAACAAAAATAGAGAAAGTGAAAAGGTCATCAGTACTTTGTTAAAAAAGAAATCAACAAAAATAGTTTTAAACAAAGTAGATATATTCGCCACTGATCGGCTAGTTAAAATTCTGTCCGCGGGCCGGATAAAATCTTCCGGCGGGCCACAGTTGGCCCGCGGGCCGTAGTTTCCCCATCCCTGGTTTAATACATCAGTTTTAATACTATATTTTAATAACAGTTGATGAGAGCTCCTGCTTATGTTCGCAAAGGTAATTCGTCTAAAATGATCCTCTTACACCCAAGTGCTCTTAGATTAGACTAATATTAGAACGCCATGGCTTACAGAGTGCAGATAGCTTCTAGAACTAAAATGGATTTCATTTTCTAACTTAGTATACTTTTACCGTTATATCTGCAAACTTTATGCGGCGTAAAAGACAAGCTTATGTTCAAAAGTTTTGATTAGTTTATATTAAATAAAACTATTGCCACCGTCACAATCGTCTTAAACAATTTTTACAGAGCGAGTTTTACTCTGCCATAACTCAAAAACTATTAAATGTAATTTTGCATTATTAACAGAATTTTTTAACAAGATGTTGATGTAGTTATCGAGTTGTTTTATGTCTAAGATGAAAATTGCTGTTTTGCGTAGTTTAATGAAAACTCTTAGCTGAAGAATTGTGTTTGTTTTGAAGTTTAACACTATGATAGTTTGAGAAAATGAATAATTAGTCTCAGTTTGTTTAAATTTCGAGTATTGGGGTTATTAAATAGATTATATTGACGGTATTATGGATTATTCAGTGCAAAGGAAAAACTAATTGTAGTAAAATTATAATTTTTTGCAGCTATTTTTGACTGAAAATGAAAAAAGAGTAATTAAAAAAGAATCCTACTTTTTCAAAAAGTTTGGTATATTTTTTATTCAATACCAAAAGGTTAAGAAATAATGCGTATTTCTTTATTTAGCGAACCTTGACCAAGTATGTTATTTGAGTTATTTTAATTAGGAAACTAATATTGGCAATTTTTCTGCTTCTGCCGCATGGTACGTGGCGTCGCGTGTGTGTGATTACGTAATTAGGAGTATATTTCCCTGCTCCTTCATTGGCAAGGAATTATTTTTAAATTTAAAAGTTTAGTTATTTTAATTTTTAAACATATTTAGGTATATGTGGAATTTCAAATTTTCCTTCAGGTTGAATTTTATTTTTCAAGAGTATTGCCTAACAGGTAAAAATTAAAAAAAAGTCAATTAACAACCATTAAAATTTTTCCAATTGAGTTCCTATTTTGTTTTTAATTTGAATAGTTTTTAATATCATTTCTATATGTTGCATTTAATAATTCAAACCAAGAATAATTAAATGAAAAAATAAGTCAAAATAACGATTTTTTCGAATGAATTCCAAAACCTTATAGAATACTGAATTGAATCGAGTGTATTAATACTTCAGCAATTCCTCTAACTGGAGTAAAATATGAGTTCAACAAACTTTTAATTGTACAATTTTCTTGACGTTTAACATGTATCAGTTTATTTCGATGGCTGCCGTGATGACTAAAGAATGAATTTCCTTTAAAAAGTCGACTTTTTTTTTAACATGTTAGGAACAGCTGTCTTAGTTCTTTGAAAACATTATGTAGGCCTTCAAAAAAAATTTTTTTTTAAACATAAATATTGTAATTTTAGTGCTTAATAATATGTTTCAACTTCTTGTACTATGAATTAGATTTGTACGTTGTTTTACTTACAATTTTTTAGGCAGGTTAAGTTAAGATTCGCGTTTACTACTACAATTTTCTTTTTGTTTACAGAAACGATAATTTCCCAATATTTAATATATTGTTTATATAAGTAATTGCTGGATTTAGTATTTTATAGGGACCCTTTTTTAACTGCAATAAGTCAATTTATAATTTATGTTCAGTTGTAATTAATGTCTGATATAATACATCCCTTGTCTAACTAAGCTTGATTACTTGTAATAAAGCTACAAAATAAGAAAGTGATTGCCAAATAATCATTGCCTATTATGTTCATGCAAGTTAAAAAAACGACTTTTATCACGCCATCAGTAATTGAACTCTTACTTCGATAAAATTAAGATGCTGATTTTAGGATATGTTATTTCAAGAATATATTAAAGAGTAAAAATATTCTTGTTTTCAATACCTTATTTCATGTTTTAGGGGTAAAGGAAGAAACACACACGCAATACATTTTAATTGAATTCACAAGAATCAGAAGATCAAATATATAGTATAAATAATAATAATAAAAATATAAGTATAAACAAAATATAAACAAAAATTTTAATAAGTTATCTTGGCTGCCTTTACAGACTTCGGTCTTTATATGCACGAAAGTTGTTCACGTTTAACCTCATAGTTAATGATCCTCTTTCAATGAAAGTTTCACAATCAAATCTCTCCGGTGAAGTGAATTGTATGTTCACACTTTCAGTTTCATCAACATTTTAAATTGAATTGTTCTTAGATAAATAGAAATAACGCAACGACAAAGGTGGCATACGTAGAATTATAGCAAACCATAATCTTCTGAATACTTTTTCGATTTCAGCAATCACTGTTACAAGTTTATTCCGTTTAAGATCCTGTAATGAAAATACACTAGATTACCTCTTTTTAACATGCTCTTACAATTCATAATGTTTGCAAAAACCATTGTTTCTTATTTATAGAGTAGAGAGAGGAAAAGAGAACTTCAGAAAAGTGAAGCCATACTTGAGACCACCATACTGTGTGGTGCAAGGCCATGGTCAAATGCTTTCCTTCTACCGTAACTGAATAAAGGTACTTTTAATCGTAATTGTACCATTAAGCATTTCAAAATTTTATTAACAAGTGTACTCGAAATGTTTTTTTTTTATTCTTAACTGCAACATTAGTATAATAACGATCTGTTTGAAAATCATTTACTAAATTATATAAAAACAATTAAACATGAATATGAAATGTATAACAAATCATTATCGAAAAACTTTTACTGTTAAACCATCAGTTTGAAATACTTTTTTTTAAAAGAACTAAAACAATTCTTTTTAAAAAGATGTAAATTTGCAATTTATTTTTGTCTGGTTAAATGTAGTGATTGTTGCTATGAGCATTATTACGCTTGTTCAAAAGACTAACAATTTTTGTATGTTTAACTAATTATTCACAAAATTTAATTCAATATATTCTTTCATAATACCTTAAAGTGACGTAATTTGTGAAATCTAAAAATGATTCCCCTAACTAAACTCTAATCTCAGGTATCCACAATTTTTTCTAAAACTTGGCGGATGCAATATAGATTATTCTCTCATACTTTGATGTTTGTGTTCATTAATTAAATTCTTTATTATTTCAATGACATCGACTCTCTACGATAAGAAAAAAAATGACTGATTCCTTCACAGGCATATAAAAGGGCGTGAAAAAAGATTCTATATAACCAAACATCACAAGTTTAAGTCTAACATTGTACCTTTAATTTATTGTTTAATTATTCAGTTTAAATGTCAATAATGCTTCTCTTTTTATTTATATCAATAGATATCAACATTTGAAACAAAGAAATCTTTATACACGATTTTTCTTATCAATCCTTATTTACTTTAACATATGAACGAGTAACGATATAGTTTTTCTTCTGTTTCATATGCGTTATTTTTACATGTTTGCTTTTCTTATGCGTTACTTTTAAGTGCTTAATACTATGCGTTATTTATAATTTTCTTATGCGTCAATTTAGTTAGTTTTCTTATATTGCACATTAAACTTAATTTTGCGAGTTATTATGTTTACTTTTATTTGTGGTGAGACTTCTACGCGTTTAATTTTTTATGTGTTACTTTTACAAACTTGTTACACGCATTACATTTTACATTCTACTTTTTTGTTGTTGATTTTTTTCTTATAAATTAATTTTTACTTTTCTTATGCCTTACTTTTCCACTTTTACTTCCTTTTTATTTTAAGCGTAAATATGTATTACGCTTTACTTTTCTTTCAGCGTTAGACGACAGTGTTTTAGTTACAGACGACAATTTAAACTTTACTTTTTTACGCGTTATATATTATTTTTTACTTATTATACGCTTTTAACTTAACTTTTTTATTTCTCTGTAGGTTACTTTTACTTGTTTATTTCTCTTATGTGTTGCTTTTACTTTTTTCCGTTTTTCCACTCTATTCTTTAATAAATAGTTTACGCTTTCCATTACTCTGCATATTTCCAGTTACTTTTCTTAATGCGTTATAATTTTACCCATGATTCCCGCGTTTACTTTACAAAATATTTATATATATTTCTTTGCTTTACTTCTAGTGTATGCTTTTCTTAAGCGTTTATTTTATATTATATAGTTGCTTTCATGCGTTACTAAATTGACCGCGTTTTCAATTGCACGTTATTTTTAATTTCTTGTATTTTTTATGCCTCCGTTTTCTTTATGCGTTTGCTATTCGTTTAATCTTCCTATGCATTACTTTTTAGCTTCATATTACATATTTAAGTGTTCCTTTTAATAACCGTTAAATTTGCATGCCTTAGACGGTGTTTTTGCGCATTTATTTTCCTCATGCGTTTTTTCCACGTTTCTCTATTACTTTCTTTACTCTATATTTCATCTCACTTTTCTTAACCTTTTGTGAGCTAAGCATTGATTTCCTTACGCATGACTTTAACGCGTTTATTTTAATTATACGTAATTTTTACTCGAATGCGTTTCTCATTGCTTATAAATTCTTTCTAAATAACGCATTACTTTTCTGATTGCATTACTTCAGTGTAACTTTTTTATGCTTTTATTTGCAAACTTCTCATGTTAACTTTTACACGTTACTTTCCGCGTTTACTGCTTTTATCTATACTCAATGTTAAATTAACGCGTTCATTTTACTATGCATTACTTTTATCTCAACGCTTATATCATATTTTAAGCGTTATATCATATTATGCGCTGTTTACTTTAGTATTGTTTACTTTTCATTATATGTTATATTTACGCTTCTACTTGTCTCGTGTGGCACATTAATTTTTACGCATTACTTTTACGCGTAGATATATATATTTATGTCCTATTTTTCTTGCTTTACATTTATGCTTTTTAAGTTCTTTTTATGCGTTTACTTCCTTTATGCGTTATTTTTACTTTTCTAATGTCTTTTTCTCATTAAATGCAATCTAATTTACTCGATTATATTTCTTACGCCTTATTTTTAGTTTTAGTATCCTTAAAGAGTTTATTCTCCTAATGCGTTACTTTTACTTATCCTATGCATCATATTTACGCGTTTCATTTTGTAAGGCAATTCTTTCACGCGTTATTTTCTCTTATGTGTTACTTTTACTTACATGCGTTGCTCTATTCTTTACTCCAGATTTTACGCTTTCCTCTACTCTATGTTTTATGCATTTCTTATCCTTTACCTTTTCTTATCATACGCATATATTTTACACGTAACTGTATTATGCGTTGCTTTTACTTGATTACTTTATTTAGGCTTTATTATTCTGTGTTATTGTTTATGTATCCCACAGTGGACTGATCGTTAAGACACGGTTCCCAGCAGATTACCGAAGTCAAGCATCACTGGCTACGGTCAGTGTGCGGGTCGGTGATCACTTGGATCAGTCTGCGTCGAGACCGTGGGTGTGCGGTATTGGTCCTCGTTAAACTGTTCTACCGTAAAGTGCTCGACTTCGCGTGCAGGTTGTCGGACTACCGAAGCGGGGGTGCCATCCCCTCTGCAGAGGATCAAAATTGTGATGGCATGTCTTCGAATCATCCTCAGGAGTGTTTCCCAGACCGTCGCCAATAGCCCGTCATGCAGCTCTAGTGCGACGTAAATTAACTACAACATCAACAATATTGTTTATGTACTACTTTTCCTTAAGCGGAATTTTTTTAATGCGATATTTTCACTTTTCTGAAGCGTTAAATTTACGAGTTCATTTCTATTTTCATTCCTTTAACGAGTTTACTCGTTATAAGCATTATAGTTTTAGCGTTATTTTTATTTATGCATTGCTTTTACGCGACTACTTATCTTTTACGTTACTTTTAAATTTAAGCGTTATTATATTTTAGTTGGTTTCACTTGTTTGCTTTTTTTTATGTGTTAGTTTTTCTTTTATGCCCTACTTTACACTATTATTTACCCTAAACTTCATGCTGTTCTTTACAATATATTTTACGCGTCATTTTTCTCTTTGAGTTCATTTTGCGAAATTACATTTACTTTATATTTTACGTGTTTTTTTTAGGTGGTACTCTTCTTATGCATGCATAAACTTTATTTTTTACACTTATTATTTTTTTTAATCTTTATCTTTAGACTCAACTTTTAATTCTTATACGCTTCAAACTTAGTTTACTTAACATATTTACTTTGTACTTTAATTTACACTACTATTAATATCCACTTTACACGCATTTTACAATTCATTACGCTTTTTTCCTAGACCAGAATAAATTTAGATTAAATGAAGATCTAATTTTAACTTTATATTATGTTTAACATCACACTTTGCGCTTCGTTTGCAAAACGCTTCTTTTTTAAAATTTACCTCAAACTATACGCTTTACTTTATACGATATTGTATTCTATTAACTTTTTATACTTCACTCAATCTTTTTACTATATTTTGTAGGTTACGTTTACATTTTAAGCCTTACATTATTTTATATTATGCTATTATTAACATTATTATTTTATGTCTCTTTACACGTTTTATAATATTTACAGTATGATTACATTATTTTATACTGCTTTACGTTATTCTATAATTTACTTTATTAACGTTTATTGCATATTTTACTTTATTTATAGCTTTGCTTTACACTTTCCTATCCTATATACTTCACGCTATTTTACCCTTTATTTGCTTCGCGCTTTTAAGCATGCTTTACATTTTTCGCTATATTTTATTCATTACGTTACTTTATATTACGTTTAACTTTTTTATATACTTTGCATTTCATACTTTTCGCTTTACTTTACTCATGTTTTACTTTATACTTCATATTTTGCTCTTTTACTTTACCCGGTACATTACTCTTTACTACTCTTTTCATTATAATTTCTACTTTTTAATTTACTCGTTTATTTTTACTTAAAATGCTTAGAAAGAAAAGAGTAAAATGTTTATTAAAGAAAAAGTGTCCATACTTTATATTTTAAGCATTACTAATATATGCAATTCTTATTTTACTCTTTATATTAAATTTTACACTTAATTTTACTTAAATTTGATTTACGCACGATTAATATCGGGATGATTCAGTAAAACATTTATGCCTTAAATTCACTAATTTATTATTTTTTTAATTAAAATTAGATCTTAATCGAGGATACGACAAAAAAAATTCTACTTAGTTGCTCATGATTAAATCATATCTATTTTACGCTTTATAGTTTTTTTTTTCACCTCAGTTTAGGACTATGTCGAAATACAACAATTTTTAATCACAGTTCTATAAATTTAATGATTTGCTTCATTGAGATTTATTTTAAAAATTTTATTTTACTTGGATAATGTACCATTCTTTAACGAGACATTTCAATTAAACGTTTATTCTTTTATTTCCACCGGATATTAATCTGGAGATGGTTTTATTATCATTATTAGAAAACACAGTTCCCTATCAGCTTCTGCTACAGTTAACACACAAAACATTTTAATCAATTTTTCGCAAGATCTTGAACACTTTCAGCAGGAAAATTAATAATTTTACAGGGTGGCTACAAAATACTGTTAGACTGAAAAAAATTAGAATTAATTTTAATCGTTTGGTAAAACAGTTTTTCTCTCACTATACCTGCGATTGGCGCTTTCTGCAAGTGCAGACGATTCTTGATTAAAGCAAAACATTTAGAATAACTTTAAAGGATGGAATAGAAAGGATTGATGGTTAAACAGCTTCTCGATCACGGATTTTCTGCAGGTAGAAATCTTCAAGCGCTTAAAATCTCTTGGGTTAAATAGAACATTTATATTATATAGAACTATAAATCGTTTTTGGATTCTAATAGTTGGAAAGTTCGATCTAGATCTGGTAGTTCACTCTCATTTCTTACAAAAATGAACACTTAAAGCATTCATGAAAAGATACAAAGAAATTCACAGCTCTCTACTAATAAAATGGCTGCAGAAGAGAAGGTGAGTCAAAGAACTATGCAAGTTATATCAAATAGAGACCTGAGTTTCCGTCCTCATCTCAAAAGAAATGTTCATGGTTTGACAACTGATCAAAAATTAAGAAGGTTGCAAAAAGCAAGAAATCGCTGATCTAACAGCAACAAACTGGTGATTAGTTTCTGATAAGTAAATATTTTGCACACAACTAAGTTATAATACTAAAAATAATGTTGTATATTCAGCAACCTTCGACGCTATACTTGAAAGTGTAAGAACTGTTCAACGCTTTCAGTACAAGAATTCTGTAATGGTTTGGGCTGCAATGTCAAATAACGGAAAATTTCCTCTGGAATTCATCGATAAAAAGGTAAAAAACAATGTTGAATATTACAAATACTTATTACTACATGCTGACAGATTGTATACCAAAAAAAGGGATATTTAAGCAAGATTCTGCATCATCACACGGAGCCAAACCAACATAACCTCGGCTCCATATCAATTGTCTGAAATTAATTAAGCAAGAAGATCTAAATCTTCTAGAGTATTGCGTTTGGGGGATTCTATAGTCTAAAAATTTTGAGCAGCACAGACTCCCTCAAAGCTTCTTTATTGCGTAAAGGGGACCAATTACCTCTTAAAATGATTCTGGCGGCCAACTGACAATGGCGTAAGAGATTATCTTTTGTAATCGATAAAGATGGTGGTCGATTGAAATAAATTTTTGTAAGGTAAACTTACATTTATAGTGTTCCTCATATTTGTGTATTTATCATTTTCTATTTAATATCTATGCAGCAAAATGCTTTGATATTTGTAACACTATTTCGCAGCCACCCTGTCATTTGCACGCATTGCTGATTTTCATTTATGTAATAAAAGTCTTTTCTTTTTTTTTAATTGGCTTTAACATAATTGGAAGGTCTAAAAATTATTCTGAATGAAAACTGCTGCTTTATTATTGACATATATGGTGTCCAGGTTAAGTTTTGAATGCCATTTCTTTTTAGTATATGAAATGATGTTTGTTATTAATGTATGCCTTTATATAGCGTATTCTTTTTCATTTCTTAAAAATTTATATAAATGGCGGTTGATATGGTCTCGAAAATTGTTAAACTCTTCTTTTATATTACTTACCCTTAAAAAGCTAAGATGTCGAATCATGGTTGAAATCGTATTTCAGGAAGTTTTCGAAAGCTGAAAATATATCACATATTGATTATTATTATATTAATACTTATGCAACATTATAGGGATCTTTCAAGCATTATGCAAACATAAAAGGAATTGGGGCTTGTGATTCACTTATTTTTTCTGAAAAATAGCAGATGGGGTATGAGCCATGCATGCGTAAGACATTTAAATAAAAAAAATTTAAAAAATTTTCTTAAAAAAAATAGCAGTTAAAATAACTTCAAATTTAAAATAAAAGTTCGACAACAATTGCTGTTATGTGCTTAATAGTTCAAGAGTTTTAACAGAAATAATGAATATTCTTCTCAAAATTTCATAAAATGAATTGAAATATTCACTGATTTTATTTTTTGAAAAATTACCTTATTTATTTGAATTCTAAACTTCGATTACTTCAAGAAGAGCTACAATTAGAGCAAGATGGTGCGTTGTTACTTTTTTACTTAAGCATAGGATGTGATTTGCTTATTTTCGGTGACTAAGTGTCCAAAATTGAAGGAAAAAAACACTTTAAATGAACGGCCCCATATAGTTAGAAATATATCCTCTTTTTGATGTTAAAGATAACGCACATTTTATTCATAAATTACAAAATGCTACAAAATTGGAAATTCATAACTAATTTCAGTTCATTCTTAAAGAGGAGAGTTTAATCTTAAGGGATGAAAGACACAAACAATGAAAAATACAGACTCAAAATTGTTAATAATATATAAGTTAACAAGTTTATATTGCGCTAACTTTTTTTTCCAATGTTATTCTCCTTGGTAATTTTTAAGTGGTTTCTGCACTATTTCTTTACCTGAACATCTGAAAAAGGTGTCAAACATGTTAAGGATGGAACATTTTAGCCTAATATTTTCTGGGACCACGTTATCTTATAAAGAATAGGGAATTCTAATTTTAATCTACTCTGTTACTAATAAACTAAATTATTCTTTATTGTTTGTTTTCTCAATTTGACCTGTATGAAAATATAAAAAATGAGAATGCTGCTGGCACTTCCAACCTTTATAAATTCTTTGGAATATGGCTTTTTATTCGGAACAGAGAAAGATTTATTTTTGAATTAGAGAGGATTTTATCAGAACAGAATAATGCAGACAATTATATCGGATTTTGACCTATACAAGAAGGGCCAGAAGTAAACTATTCCACTGCCGTGCAGCCTAAGGCTGCAAAAATTGGCTTCAACCGCATATAAATATAGTTTAATTAATAGTCTGCAGTTTTCTAAAGCAGTTAAAAAAAATAAGAAGGAACAAAAATGCTATACTTACAACAAAAGTTTTAAGAGTCGTCAAAATTGTTCCAATTTGATATGTCAGCATCTAAATATGTCCAGCAGTTCTCACACTCGATTAACCATGTTAAAAACATCCAAACGGGCCCTAATCTCTCGGACAACTGAGCAAAATAATCCTATAAAAACAAAAATATGTTGCATTAAAATAGCATGCCATAATGTGTAAAAAATTATTCATTTCTCCGGAGATCGAAAGCAAACTTGGAAAAATTACATGATTTAAAAATTAAAATTAAGTGTGAGAAACATGCAAAAAGATACACTTTTTTCTTAAGATCCTGAAAAACAACCACTTTAATAATAATTGAAAACTTTCAAATAAAATCAGTATAACTCATTAAAACTTAAGTGTAATAATAAAACTCATTACACAATAGATCAATAAAAGTTTAACCTGAATAAAAGAATATAATTTAACTATTCTTGTGGTAAAGCATATCGTTAAGATTTACCGAGGCTTGTTTACACCATTCCTTCAAAGTTTGCCAAATAATGCATTGCATTGCTGAATTTGATATCTTTTTGAAATCACAAATAATTTAAAGAATACTTAATTAGAGCATAACACTTGAACCAAATTATTGTCAAATATAGATAAATATTTATAATTATTACATTCGTAGAAAGTTGCTTTTTACCTATTGGCAAAATGGGTCTTGTTTTGGGTTTCATAGCGTGCACACTTTATTTGGACGTCATCACGGTTTTCAACTGCGTTCAAGAATAGTAGTAAACAGTGCGCATGCGTCGTCATTGCACGCGTTGCTATATATATATATATATATATATATA